AAAAAAAAAGACTAGGGAAAATTAAAAGGAAAAGAAAAATAAACATGAATAATATAATAAAGAAGGCAAAATGAGTGGCTGCACTTGTTCCAAAATGAGATTTGCCAGGCTAGCCAAGAAATAGTTGAGGTGGACTAAGGGTTGAATAAATTTGGTAATTAATATAGCCACTTATTCCTTTTTTTTTAAATTAATACTTAACCTTTTTCTTGTGACTTTTTTAATTTTTTTTTCTATTTTTTTTACTTCTCAATTATTATTACTATTATAATTATTATTTTTATTTTTATTTTTTATTTTTGTACCTAAAGAAGTCCAAAATGGATATCACACCAGTTATGACAGCTACAATATATACCAAAATGGTGATCATCCCCATATAAATATAATTTCATACAATTATTGAATTAGTTTTGGGATTAAATTTTTCCAAATATGACAGTAAAGAGTCTTGAAATCCTCAGAAATTTGAAGCCCATATCTTTAGGAATGATTGAGATTTTAGGAAAAGAACAAGGACCACCCCAGCTGTGTCCTTTGGCTCTAAAACAATATCCCCATTCATTTCATAGTACTCTAATAATTGAGTGTGTATATATAGTTTTTTGGTTGGGTAGTAAATTAAATTTGTCAAAGTACAATCAAATTTAACATAAACTTGGAGACTACATACCTTACCTTGATTGACAACATCAAAATGTTGTGCTGTTCAAAGTAGATATGAAATATTGTTCAAAATTCGAAGTCGTAATACATACGTGTAGGATTGAGCATGGGACCTGGAGAATTTTAAACCGTTCTGGAAACGGAACCGAAATCATTCTGAACCAAAAAATAAACGTTGACTGTTTGATTTTTTCCAAAACCGAAACGAACCGAACTGAAATAATAATCGGTACGGTTCTGTAGATTTTTCAAATATCCGTACCGAAAACTTAACCAAATCGTCTCATACTGTACTGAACCAAAAAAACTTATTTATATCATTAGTTAATATATTTTATGTAAACCTTGATCCTATATAATTTGAGAATTTTTAAAATGTAAATAAATTATGGTAATAACAATTAAGCTTCACTTAAATTTCTAATATTCGATCTAAAATTGAATTCCTTCTGTTTTGAAAAAAAATATATTTAAAATAGTATGAAAGGTAAAAAAAATACTTTTCTAAAAAATATATATTTAAATATTACTTAAATTTGTCGATACTTTTCTTAGTCTAATTTTATCTTATAATTAAAATGGTATGAAAGTTTAAATAAACATTATTTTAAGAAAAAATTATATTATATTTCGTTTGAATTTTAAATTTTCAATGTTAGTTGCACAAATTTAGTCTTAACTAAATTTTAGAGTTACTTCTAAAATTTATTTTAAAATAAAATCTTTAATATGATGAAACATTAATGAATGTAGTTTTTTCTTTTTCTAAAAAAAATGCATATAAATATTAAAATATAATTAGGTAGTCATTAAAAAAAATTTAAAAAAAAATAGAAATCTCTATATATCCGAACCGAACCGTTCTGATTGTCCCGAATATCGAATCGAAAAATAAAATCGTCGAACTGAACCATCCCGACTTTTTAATACGGTTCCGGAGATCGAATTTTAGTAATCTTCGAATTTTAGCACGATTCTGAATATTTGTCAACCTCTAAACCGTGCCGACCAGGTCACCCCTACATACATGTAGAAAGTAATCATATCCAAATAGAAAAGGCATCCATGAAACGAAAAGAACTCACGGTAGCTTTTGCGTTTATTTCTACCAATGTAGAAGGGTGGTAGTTATCACGTATGCATATATATGTGGTCTGTAATTTCTATATTTTAATTCAATGAAATGATGCTTTTCAAAAAAAAAATATATATATTCATAAAACTAAAAAAAGTTACTTTTTTTTTAGCCAGTCACGATATTCGGAGTTATACCCGACTAAAAAAGTTACTTTATACCCAAAGGAAATCATTTTTTCATTTGGAAAGACATGATCAAGAAGAAATCTTAAGAGAACATCGAACGAAGCTTCCAATTATTATTCTTTTTTTTCAAATGATTATGATTTTCTTATTAGATGTTCTTTTTATTACACTTTCGTATTTAAATATTGACAAACAAGAAACAACATCCAAATTAATAAGCTTAATTACAGGAGTTCACGATGCCCAAATCCCAAGTATTTATTTAATTAGTAGCAAATGTCATATCAATATTATCTTGTATGTTATTATTAATTTATTAATTATTGTGTTCATGTTGACTTGTGTAGTAAAGATCCAAATTTTTTTTCCAATATTTTCATGTTGTGTTGGCTAGATCTCATTTTAAAAACGTTACGGAAAAACGCGTTTTTTTGACAAAATCGTCATTTCGAAAGTCCACATTGACAACATATATAGGTGAATGAAATCTATTAATATATAAAGAGGTAACCTAAATAATTCTAAAATAGTAACTCAAAAATCACCAAAAATCCCGCCTAAATATATTACTAAATATAGTATAAAAATTCAAAAAATTTGGAAATCCCGCCTAAATGTATTTTTGAAATTTTGTTAAGTGCAATCTGAACACAATGATGCCATAATTTGTGGAGCTAAATTTTGAAACTTAGTACATAGCCTTGAATTTCGCCCATATTTGACATGAAATCGTATTAATAAAAATCAAGCATAATTACATATATTTTGAATGCACATTGAATCCCATATACCATATACTTCAGTTAAATAAGATACTTATTATACAAATAGAAAAAATAAAACTTAAAACTTGGTCTTCTTTCATAAAAAACGAAGTATACAAAAACCAAAAACAAATACAACTAAATTGTTAGACATTTACTAAATTACTATAAATATTGAAATATTTAAAAATCACTTAATAAGTTTTAAGTTTTGACCATTATTTTAAAACCAAAAAAGTATGTTGTTAAATATTTTATTGACCTTGTATACAACGAACAGTTTTTTTTTTTTTTTTTTNTTTTTATTGCTAATGTATAGAAAATACTTAATTTTCTAAAGAAGTAAATAGAACATCAAATATATTAATTTTTAAAGTGCATAACATTTAATGTTTAATCTACTAATATATAAATAGACAACCAAAAAATCTAAAATAATAACTAAAACATAATTAGAATTTTCGCCTAAAATTTTACTAAACATAGTAACTTTTTTTTTTAAATTTAATTTCGCCCAAACATAATTTGAAATTTTTCGGTCAAAAAATTTCAAACATTTAAAAGAATAATTGTCTGCAGATTATTTTTTATTGGTATTATTCTATCTTTATCTTAATGATTATCTACTCATTATACCTTATCGTTAAGATTCAAATGCTTTGGTTAATTAAAATTGAATGAAACAAAAAGGCGTTGTTCGTGCCTCCTCTATTTTACATGTTGAAGGCCCAAGTTCTAAGAATATCAGGTCTAAGTTGCAAAAAACCAGTCACCTGGTTGATTTCCTCATGTGTGTTGATCATGATTGCTTGGCTCTTTAAATCCTTAACCACATCATATTTATGGTAACCCCAAAAATATTGAATCTATTACTATATAATAGCAATAAGAAAAAAATATATATTAATATATAATAAGAATTAACATAATTCACTTTTAGAAACACTTTCCCGCCAATTTCATTAATTATTGTCTAAAAATAGTAAATTAACAAAAATCAATATAATTAATGTACATAATCTTTTTAGTCAAATATTATGGTTATTACCTTTATTAGTTGAATTTAAATTTAGGATGATTTAGTTTTATAGAAACAAATATGGATGTATTATTAAAACTTTCGAAATCCTTAGTTTAAATATATAGATTTGATTGAGCAATTATAGAGAATTAATCGTTAATCTTTGTATCTATATTATATTTTCTGTATTGAGTAAAACATAATAAATTAATACTTATGTTATTTTTCATACATCTTTTTGTTGGCATAGTAGAGTTGCAAGATTATCTTTTTCTTCGTAGACAAGATAACCAAATACAAAAATATAAATAACATCTATGTGCCGCTAAAAAATATGTTAGACAAAATGTAAAAATGACTTTTAGAAAATACTTAATTAATGGAATGGATAGGAGTATATTTGTAATTATTTAAAACAAAAAAAAAGAGCATTTACAATGCATAAATGTTGTTATCACATAAATTTTGACAAATATCAATTGTTTATATGGATTGTGAACCACATAAGATATTTGATAAGTTCACAACTTTATATCTAAAAAATTATCTGGGTGCACAATGTGATCAAACATAATATTGTCAATTGACAAAAATAAAAATAAAATATAAATAAGAAACAAAAAATAAATTAATAATTAGATATTTTTAAAAAGATATTCCATAAAATTTTTTTAAACACTAAATCCGGCTATTTGGAATCAATTATATTTAAAAGTAGTATTATTATGGAACCAAATGTTATAGAATATCATTTTAAAAACAGTATAATTATGATATCAAGATATTTAACCAC